AGACCTTGCTGCTAATCTAGTACTGAACTTAAACTTATAAATTCTAGTTACCATAGAGGAAAACTAATCAAAATAATTATCATGAAAGTATTTATTGAAAACGGATAGGAAAGTTATGTTACAGTGATAGAAAAGTAAGTGAAGCTGAAATGCCAGGTCAGGATCAATAACATTGCAGATTCTTCTTTGGATTTTATCAAGAATCTCTAAATATGCAGCAGAAGTACCAAACCAGATATGGCAGCAATATTCAAATCAAGGATAAATGGCAGACAGATTTATAAATAAGTAAGATACATTCTAGTGAGAAAAATTGTCTAGTATGACATAGTGAACTGACTTTCCTCACAGCAGACTTTTGTAAATGATTCAATATATTCTTTCTACTTCATGTCAGAAGAAAACATTAGTCTAAGAAGATGCAACGAGTCACTCTCTAGGAGATTAGCATCAGCAATGCTGATAGATGGTAAAAAAGTGTTCTTTCAGAGGATTAAAACAGAGCAGTTTTGTTTTGGAAGCATTAATAAGTCATTCCTTGCCCCAGTTAACAATAGATAGTTATAGGTTATTTTTGAGATCAGCTGCCAATTTGACTATTATTATATTAGAGTGTATCAAATATTTTTATTTTTTTACAGAGCTTTTATCTAAAGCCTATTGAATTTCCACATCTAAAAAGACTATATATATATATTCTATATATATATATATATATATATATATATATATATATATATAGTTACACCTACCTGACCATAGCTCAATTAAGACATTTAAACTCACAAATAAATCTACCAAACTCCTTCTGCAATACTAGTATACAAGTATAATAGCTTTGTCCACATGTAAAAACAGAGTAAAAATAATGAAAGCATTAATAAAAAAAGGAAAAGCCAACACTCCATAACATTAACTATGAACATGGCCACAATGTGCTGACCCCATTTGGAAAATAAAACATTCCTATAACTTCAGATATATACATAAAAAAAAACACACATTCAGTTAAAAATAATAAATAAAGATCGTCTGAGGAGCTGTGATACAGCAAAACAGTCTGTCTGTGGATGACTATATATATATATATATATATATATGGGTGGAGGTTAGTCAAAATGTTCTGCCTCTTCTACTTTTAGAAGTACTTATCGAAATTCTTTTTTTTTATTTTTGAAAGCTATAAACAAGAAATTGCTAATAAGATCAGGATGTAAATATTGTGGAGTTAACGTCTCTTTCCCAACCAATAATCTCCTTTCAAAATGGCTACCTATCTGAATACATGTAATTTGCAAATAGCTGATAAAATTCTGTTTCTGGAATGAGGAAAGGTTTTTAAAGCAAGAGGATGGGTCATTAGCATCATGGAAGTCTTCAAGAGAAATGAGAAACTGACTTTAGCAACAGATCAACCGTTGCTCTGAAGCACAAATAAATTGGTGCTCACATTACGCCTGCTAGAAGAACCATGATAGTAAAATGCTGTGAAAGCCTTCAAATGTTGTCATGATGGTATAAGTAGTTTAGTGCAGTCTCTTGGCTGCTTAAAGATCTGAGCAAAGTGAGTTACCAAAATGCTGACATTTTCTATTAAAGAGCAGAGGGTGACAGATGCCCAGGAACTTCAGTATCTGCACAAATCTGCTAGCACCCATCAAGGAGGCACTGCAGGAGACAATGGTCTTCCACTGCTTATAAAACATCTTGTATAGCCAAATAACCAAAAGGCTTTGATGAGTTGGGTATACATTGTCTTAGAATAGAGGTAAAATTGAGAAGGAAGGACACCAGGTTGAAGGCAACATTTGGAATCCAGAGATATTTGTGTTCATTTTGGTACAATTTCTGCACTTCTATTATTACATTTGTTATGATAAAAGAAGAACTGGTACCGCTAAGTTAAAGACTTTGGTGTTTTTATTGTAGTATGCATTGTGTGATTTTACTATAAAATTTGTTGTAATTTAAGAGTAATATGTCTTACTTGTTTGATTGACCTTTGTACTACAATTCACAATTGAAAAGAAAGGAGACTATGTTAATGTGGCAGAGACATACCTCTCCAAAGCAAGACAATGCAAATTGTCTGTACATGTGCTTGTAGACATCATGGACGTGCGAGGTGAACTCTGGCAAATCAATACTGAAGTGACACAACGCATGAGTTATCGGTGAGAACGAGGCTAATACAAGTGAGACATCTCGGTTTCTTGCTCAAAACCGAGGAAGGATAAAAAGATCTGACTTTTTGTTTCATGGAAGTTTGTTCTTTGAGACTGGTGAAGGTTATATCCATGTTCCAGAGAAAGAGAAATAGTACTGTTGTTTACAGTGTGCAGCAAAGCCTTATTCTGGTTTCCATGTTAGCTGTCAGCAGGAACAGATTGAAGTAGAAATTTATTTTTCCTACCACCCAATTTTTATTTAAATCACACAGTTAAGGACGTTGTCTTTTACTTTTACTATTAAATCCTTGGGTTACTACCATTACTATTCAGATGTATCTTCTGTTTTAGGTTTATTGCAGTGCTTGGCTTAGAGTGAGAATTTGGAGAACCAAGTTCAAATTCAAGTTGAGTTTGTTAGATTCACTCATACACAAATACCCTTGGGAAAGATATGAATCCATCTCTTCTTCCCACAGCTAGAGGTTGAATTGCAGGATAGACTGGATTCTTTAGCCTTGGTTGGCAACCAGTCTACTGTAGAAAGAAATGGCAACCTACTGCAGGAAAAAATCAGCTTCGTCAGTCATGTATGAAAAGATACATGTTAACCCAAGCACGTATCATGTATAGTACTTAAATGACTGAAGTGACATGAAAAACATAATGACACAAAAGCATAGTGACAAAAAAAGCACATTGGTACAAAAACATAGTGATATGAAAAACACGATGGCACAAAAACAGTGACAGGAAAAACACAATGATGCAAAATATAGTGATATGAAAAACACAATGGCACAAAAACATAGTGATATGAAAGACTCAATCATGCAAAAAACATTGTGACATGAAAAACACAATGATGCAAAAAAAAATTTGACTTGAAAAACACAATGACGCAAAAACATAGTAATATGAAAAATACAATGACACAAAACATAGTGATATGAAAAACACAATGACACAAAAATATGAGAAAAATTAATAAAAATATCATAACTTATTTTACTGTAACTAAATTTATCAGAATTCTAAGATGACAATAAAAAACATGACAAGATAAAACATTAATAATAATACAAAAAACACAACTAATGACACAAAGAACACTATGACCTGAAAAAAACATCAGATAAATGAATAAAAAATACAACCTATTTTATTGCAGTTAGATTCACCAGAATTCTAAGATAAAACCAAAAAACATGATAAAACATTAATAATAACAGAAAAAAAACACAATAACAGGAAAAAAAAACATGACACAAAACCACAATAAGGAAAAACATGAGAAAAATGAATAAAAATACAATCAACTTATCTTATTGACACTAAATTCATCAGAATTATAAAAAGACAAAAAGCAGCAAAAAAAGAATATTATCAACAAGTACAGATTGCTTGGAATTCACACTTGATACACAACCTTAAATTCTATCAAGATTGGAGGATTCTTGTTAAATATTCTACCAGCTCTTATATAAGAAAACTTTTTGCAGCCTCTGCAGATTATAAAAAGCTTAGATATAATTTATTTAACTCATGCCTAAATCCAGTAATGGATAAATAATCTCTAATTGAACTTGATAAATACATTAGACTCATACTCTGTTACAAAAAAAAAGCCAAAATATGCAATACCTAATCTTATTCCTAATAATAAAGCTGAACTTCAGAAACTGTTAAAAAACTAAAATGTTATTTCAAACTATTCAGACTATTGTCTTCATCTTTGTTGTTGTTATATTTTTGCTGTTGTGCCCTCAGGCTTTCTTCAGGTGGGTGGATCTGAGTAAACCTTCATGAAATGTTGAATTGAACCCTTTATTCAATCTATGGGGTAAACTGTTCCTATTCCACTGTCCATGTTGAGTTATCTCCTCTTTTTTAGTACTACTCATTTATTACCCCTGCTGTTTCCACTGAGTCTATATACTGACTACCCTGCCCAGTGATTGAACTCATAATTATTATGCCACCAAAGATATCCACTTTTATGGACATTGGAAGATGAACATGTTATGGCAATAGACTGAATAAATGATTTGATTCAAAATTCTGATATTTTTACTTATTGTGAAAGGCAACTGAAAAACAATCAGAAGAGTACAAGAACCATAACAATCAAGATGAGGAGACTAGTTTAAAGAAATCAGTGTATAATAATAATAATAATAATAATGACAATTCTTCATCTCAGGAATTCAACTATATACTTCTTTATACTTTTCATTTTATCATCAAAATTTTATTATCAAAATATTATCAACATAAACCTTTGTTAACATATTATCAAAATATACCTTTTATTATCAAAATATTACCAATATAAACTTGTCAACATATTATTATCAAAATATACCTTTTATAAAAAATATACCTTTTATTGTCAAAACATTATCAAAATCAATGATTTATTATCAAAATTAACATTTTGTCATCAAAATATTATTATAAAATAACTTTCAATTTCAAAATATTATCAAAATTAACCATTTATTGTCAAAATATTATTATTAAAATTACCCTTTTATCACCAAAATATCATCAAAATAAACCTTTTATTGTCAAAATATTATCAAAAATTAAGCTTTTTATCCACAAAATATTATCATCAAATTCAACCATTTATTGTCAAAATATTATTATCAAAATAAGGCTTTTATGTTACTTTTTTTAAATTTATTTTTTTCTGTGAAATTTCTTGGCACTTACTGTGTAAAATGGTCTTGGATCTTCAATAAATTCATCATGCTTATCAAGCGTGCCCCATTTGTAAGCCAACTCTGCTGACCTTCGTTTCCAATGTTCCAAGTATAGAGTGGCCCAAAGGACATTGAAAAGGGCAAATCCCACGAAACACCAGTCATCAAATGTCTACAAAAACAAATAATTAAAGAAATAAAATGATGAAAACAGAAAAAAAAAATCTTTTCATGTTTTTCTTGGTGCCAAATTGTGTTTGTTGGAATCTTCATTTTGTTTATTTTTTTTATATTACTACAAATGTTATTATTTAATAGGTCCTGTGCTTGAGTAGACATCACTGTTTTTTGTTTTTAATAATGAAATTAACATCTACCGGCCTAGAGATCAAAAGTCTTATTAAAGAAAATGTGCCTGTTGACAAGAATGGAATCTATATTCTCTTTAACCTGATGTCCTACTCAGATACAAGAAGCCATTCCAGCAAATCTATTTTAGAAATGTTCATCTCTTGTCATGACCTTTTAAAGCCTATATCTGATAGCTTAAAAAAAAATAAATTCACCCTGTACAAGGCTCGAAAGCCACTCAAGATAGAGAGTTACAGAGTAAGAGGCACAATTTATGAGGATATTTGGGAAAGATAACATTAACTCCAGATTTGAAAAGGTTAAGATTGTAGTGATCAAGGAAGCATTCTCCTGGGAGTCAGTTCCACAAAGCAGCATTTTGTGGGAAGAAGCTGCTTGTGTGGAACTTACCTCTCACCAATGGAACACGAAGGGAATGAGGTTGGTTTGCTACAATGTGCACGGCATGGCAGGTCTTACTCATGAAGGTTACAAGTGGTGAAACAAAGGAATGTCATTCATCTGAATGGAAATAGCAATAGAACATGAGACTTGCAACATTTGATCTGTAGGAAAGAGGTTATGTCTGCTCAAGTGTTCATCCCTACTAAAAATGACATTTATAGTAATAAGAAATAATATCAGATTTAAAAATTATAAAAAATAACATTAGCTTTTTTTTAATCATTTCATCTCAAGCATGGGAAGAAAGCCACTAAGATGCAAGAGTTTATTGATTGTTTGAAAATATGAGAAAAATACTATCAAGGAAAAAGGACAATAAAAGAACGAGAATTAAGAAGACAGAAGATAACAATTAACATTGCATTTACATTTTTGAAGATCAAATTTGACTGGGAAGGAAGAAGCGTTAAAAGAGTTCCACAAGTGAGAAGTGTAAGAGAAGAAACTGTTAGCATAGAACTTACAGTTACATCTAATCATTTCACTTGTAAAATGATGAGACCTTGCTGCCAATCTAGTACTGCACTTAAATTCATAAAGTCTAGGAACTATAGAGAACAATTACCATGAAAGTATTTATAGAAGAGATAAAGGGACACTATGTTACACCAGTTGGAAAGGGACTGAAGCCAAGATGCCAGGTTAGGACCAATAAAATTGCAGACTCTTTGGATTTTATCAAGAATCTCTAAATATGCAACAGAAGCACCAAAGCAGATGTAACAAAAAATATTCATGAATGGTAGGACATATAAATATGTAAGATACATCCTAGCAAGAAAAATTGTCTAGCATGACATAGTGAAAAATTAATTGTTTAAACATTACTTTGTTTATATCTGGGGTTTAAAAATAAACCTTTTTTTTTTAATTGTTTCACCCCATGCAAGACAATAAAGCCACTAAGGCACAAGGGCTTACTGAGTGCAAAAGAATAAGTAAAAAGATAAACATTATTAAGGAGCAAAAACAATAGAAGAGGAATCAAGAAGACAGTAGAGGACAATTGACATGTCATTTAAATTTTTGAACATCAAGTTTGGCTGGAAGAGAGATCCACAAGCAAGAAGTGCGAGGAGATAAGAAACTGTTAGCATAGAACTTGCGGTTATATCGAGACAACTGTAAAATGATGAGACCTTATTGCTAATCTAGTACTGCGCTTAAATTCATAAAGTCTAGGTACCAAGGGCTCATTCAAATAATTGACATGAAGGTATTTATGGAAAAGGCATAAAGAAGCTACGTTACAGTTGGTGGGAAAGTGACTAAAGTTAAGATACCAGGTTAAGATACCAATCAATACATAAAGATCTGCATCCTTACCTGGATTTGGATTAGTAAAGTCTTTCGTAAAACAAATTCAGAAACATTTTCTTCAAAAATAAAGAAAAATTCCAAACTTAATATATTTAAAATTTTTTTTTTGAAAGACAAATATCATTTAATGCTAACTCGAACCAGCATGAAGAGATTTTATCCTGTCAGCACTCATTAAAAGACTCTTTTTCTTTTTCTTTATACTAATATTCACCCAATACCAAGGCCCAAGAGCTACTCAAGGTAGAGGCTTATTGTGTGGTGTTGTATAAGTATAAGAAAGGGCAAGAAGTATTAATATTCACCCAATACCAAGGCCCAAGAGCTACTCAAGGTAGAGGCTTATTGTGTGGTGTTGTATAAGTATAAGAAAGGGCAAGAAGTAAAGTTGATCAGGCTATGCAGGAAAGATAACAATTAATTCTATACTTGAAGAGATCACGATTGTAGCAATTGGGGAAAATATCCTGTTCCATGTAGTAATGGTTAACGAGCATGTGTAATTGACCACTATTATTGAGTAGTGAGTATGATGCTCACTTAGTGCCCTATATTGCCTTCAGTCAGTTAAGTGCCATACGTGATACATGTTTGAATGATTTGAATTCAAGACTGACAAGACAAAAGATTTTCCCACTGTAGGTTGCCATTTCTTTCTGAGATAAACTGATTGCCATCCAACGCTTTGTTCTGCTATTCAATGTGGGGAGAAAAGATGGATTCATCACTTTCCCAAGGGTAATTATTTTATAAGAATTAAAATTGTGATCAATCCTGCGAGGATGTCCGTTTCACAACACAGCCATTCTTGGGAATAAGCTGCCCAGTTTTGTTGGATTAAACACCATTATTATTATTAACCCAAACATAGCAAGAAGGAATAAAATAGTTCATTCTTAACGTTAATTCCTCATAAATGTTACGTATTTACAATCAAAATTATGTTTGCTGTAAAAGTTCTTAAAGTACAATATTTTTTGGATAATCTTTGGAAGGTTTGAGTAATCTTTGACAGTCCATAGAACCAATCTGTAATTTCAGAGTCTGCTTATTTCTTGTCCTATTAAGAGCAACATATCATCAAATACTTTTTAATTTATTTTTTCTCAAACTATTACCAAATTCCACAAAATATGCTCTGAATTGTAACATACAATAATTAATGACAAAAAATATATATATACAGACTCAGTATCATCCAACCCACCCATTTGCAAAAAAATTATCATCATATGATTTGTATTTGCAAAGATATTTTAAAATTAAAAATACATAATAATTGCATTAGAATCCATTTTTAGCCATGTGAGCATTTCAAAATTCTCAAAACAACAAACAGGAATAATTATTATTCCGGTTTATTTTTACTTTTTAATTCTGCTGATAATTTTTAAATCCTAAATGTATTTTAAATGTTTCTATTCTCTTTAACTTTTTTTTTGTGTGTAATTATTTTAACTTTTTTTATTCATTCATTATTTCAGATTTTAAAAACAAAAGTTAATGTCTATTCTTCTTTTTTACTTTATTTTACAAAAACAAATTTCAAATAAAATATCTTGAATTAGTCCAGGCCAGGCCAGGCCAGCACAAGTGTCTCCACCTCATCTCAAAACTATGATACAGAAAAATAATTTAATTATGTTATGGAAAATAAATTTTTATTCAATCTTTAAAAAAGAAACTTTATTGTTTTTCGGTTTGTTACTAATATGAAAAAAGTAAATAATTTTAAATTAAGTTTTATTAAAGCTAAACTATAGCAAGCCTTATTTTTTTGAAAGTTAATTTAAATATAATATAGTTAAATTCATAAAGCAAATATTCAACATGACTAATGTTTTCCGTAACTATCATATCTGTCTCTCATAATTTTTATTTAACTAAAGTTCTTTTTTTTCTTTTCAAAAACAAATATAACTTGAATTTGAGTGGGGGTGGGTAATCGTTATTTTGCATATTTCCTCTCAATTGATATGTACAAAAAAAAAAAAAAAAATATGCAAATATATATGTGACATATTATATATATAGATTATTATTAGTATCTGTCTATATTTCTGAGATGAGGTATTATGTACACTATTTACATTATTCGGACTATTGTCCTTATCTTTGTTGCCATATTTATTACAATGTTTCGGCCCTTCAGTATCTGTCTATATTTTTGAGATGAGGTATTATGTATACTATTTACATTATTCGGACTATTGCCTTCATCTTTGTCGCCATATTTATCATAATAAGGCAACAAAGATGAGGACAATAGGCTGAATAATGTAAATAGATTATTATTATTTATGTACCAATGAAATAAGAACATCCCATCTTCCCTCTCATTTGTAAACATGTACTATAATAAAATAAGCATTTTCAGCACTAAAGCTGAATTAGTCAAATAAAGCTTTATAAGAGTTGTTATATTACAATTTAGGTTTTTTTTATTATTCATAAGTTTTGCATATATATTAGAAGACATTTAGCGTTTGTTGGAGAATTGTGTATTAGCATGTCTGTACGCTGATTATGGCAACATATTTTAAAGAGAATGTGTAGAATTAGGTTACGTCCTCAGGAAATATATATAATTATAAGCTTTATAAATATTAGTGATATGAAGAAGTGTGCCTGGCATTTTAAGATTATTAATTAATATTCCTTCTTAACAAGATGTGCTCACTTTTTTTTAGGGACTTGTTACAGAAAATAGTGATTGACATTGCATTAAATTGTGAAGATCAAAGTTGCTTGGAAAGCAAGAAGCCAGAAGTGAGTTCCACAAGCGAGAAGTGAGGAGGAAGAAATTATTAGCATAGAACTTATATTTACATCTAGCAATTTCAGCAGTTAAATGGTGAGAAAAAAAGCCTCATTGTTTGAGCATGCTTCTAGGATCCAACTATCATTCTGTGACTGACTCTCATAGAATGAAAAGGGGTTTACTACAACTGCTGTCATCAACAATACAGCATGGAATTGATTTAGAAGGAAATGGTAATGGTAGAAGGGAAACTTGCATTATGGTGGTAACTTTCA